ACATGAGCCCCAATTTACTTTCCTCTTTTTTTTTTTGTTTTTGACATCAGTGTTTCCAAGCAACACGTGCTGTCACTGCAGTGTTTAATTCCTTCTTCTTACACTATTTTGAGCCTTCACGAACTCACAAACTTGAGGACTCCAGCAGTGAAATCACTTATATCTGAGGGTTTAATGCTTGGGATTTGGGATTGTTTTTTGCTTCGCATTAGTTTTGGACAATCAAACTTAGAAGCTGATGTGGGGAAAGAGCAGAAAGGAGGATAAAGAGTAAATTTTGCTGTTAAACTTTTACATTTTCATGTAAGTATTGTACTTGTATTGACTAGTGTGATTAAAGAATTTAGATTAAACATTTATTTGTGATGGACAATCAGGTAACAACTGAAAAACTCAAATGCCTCGTAGAACTTTGCAGAGAACCTCTCACATTACAGACTATCCATCCATCCATCATCTATACACCGCTTAATCCTCACTAGGGTCGCGGGGGGGGCTGGAGCCTATCCCAGCCGACTTAGGGCGAAGGCAGGGGACACCCTGGACAGGTCGCCAGTCCATCGCAGGTTATTACAGACTAACGTTTTATAATTTTACCATGTGAATGCCAAACATATATATTTGTAAGCAGTTTTTTAAGATCTACTTGTGCAGCAGGAACCAGTGGGCATGGAGCTGAGTAGCTGATGTTTTATAAACGCACAAACATGTTTGACACATTTGTCGACTGCAGCAGAGTGTTAATTATCACCAGGCTTCACCAGGTGATGGTGAAAATGGAAACACGTACATCAACCAGATGGATGTTTTCAGCTGTATATTATAGTAAGGCCGTGAATAGATTTATATAATAATACCAGTAATGCTGCACTCGAAGAAGTAATTCAAGAGGAGATCTATTACCACCACTTGAATAAATACAAAGTAAAAACAAGGTAAAAGTTCTCATTTATTGATTTAGATAAATTTGTTTGGCTGCAAACATTGTGTTGGTAATTGCATCAACTTAATATTGTGTGAAATTTAAACTCAATTTTCTGTGTTATTTAAATTTAAACTAAATTTGAGGTATTATATCTTAATGATGTTAACTTGATATCTTACGTTTTCTTTATCTTGAGTAAAGAAATGAATTTGGAAATATTTTCAATTGTGATATGACCAACAATGGATTTATATTTAGTAGTAAAACTTGTTGTACTTTTTAGTTTCCCCTTCAAATTAGTGGATAAGAATAATAAAGTTTAAATTTAGCAAGTGAGCCTCATTCATCTTTTGTGGGGGAAATTAAATTTGTGTTGATTTTGCTTTCAAGATCTAAATATCTGGTATTGAAAAACTTAATCAACAGTTTTGTTGTTGACTTAATTTATTTTTTTTAAGTCACTACATATACAAAAGCATGAAAAGCTGAAAAAAAGAAAGAAAACTACAAAAAAAAAAAATTGAGCAATATAATCTTTAAAAATATCTGTCACCTTAAAAACTTTCATTTAAATAATGTGAGAGAAATTTTTATTACTAATCGACTTATAGACTTTTGTTTATGCTACCAATCGTTAAGTGGCAGTTATACAGAGGAAATGCTTATTTCCCCAACGCTGTATAGTTTGTTGCTTGAACATAATTTCATTAGAAGTTATTTTAACTCAAAAAGATAAATGCAAATGCAACTTCTTTTGCTGAGCCTAAACATTATTTTTTAGAGCGTATGACGGTGTTTGAGTTAATGTAGAGGTTGAGTGAATTTAATGCATTCGTATCATGTGCATGAATAGTTGAACCGACTCAGCAGCCCAGTGGAAGTCTGCTGGTGTAAGTTACCAACATGTTAATAATTCAACATTCTGAAACCAAAATTATTTATATGACCTCAGTATACTTTTGATACTTGAGAAATGTTCAGTTGACTTGGTGAAGTAATGCATCCAGAACTCTGACTGATTTGATTTGTATTTAAATTGTATTAAAATTTGAATAGATTTCAATCACTTCTTGTGCCACTTGCAGTGAAGTTATTTCTGTCGGAGATAAGCAGCAGGCGTATCTGAGGTCAGTCCCAGCTCTGTTTTTCTACTCATATTACTAAACTACATAATAGATGAAGGGTCCAGTTGCTCATTTGTGAATGTTGGGTCACTTTGAAAAAAGCAACTTAGAAAAAGCAGCGTTCTTATACAAATGTAGTGCTTAACTTTAAAATGAGTCAAAATAATAGTAATTAAGCAATGACAAAAAGATTAAAATGTGCATTAAAAATGACCATGTCACTTCTAATATGCAGGTTTTCACACACAAAAAAAGCATCAAATCAAACACATACAGAAACTCTGCTTCATGTTAAGGCTGTGAAAACAACTGCAGAATGCTACTGATCCATTAGTCTTACCTGTCAGCAGGTAGCAGCGCTGCTATGACCCCATGCTCCACCTGTCTTCAACACATCTACGCACTACTTCACTGACACCAGCAGCCTCCGGCGCTCCCTCTTCGCTCTTCCCCCTTGTTGCTAGGACACAGTCAAGCCGACTCCAGTTTCCTCTGTATGCAAACCGAACATGCATCCACACTCGACACTTGTCTTCGGTTTTTCCCGCTGTGGTCCTTTGACCTTCGCTTGATGTGTGTTTTAGAAAATGCAGAGTGGGGAGCAGGTCGATTGATGGCACAAACTACCGTCATGTCTGCGTGTTCTGTTGTTGTGTTGTGTGATGAAATTTCATGTAAGAGTTCCTGTTAAGGTTGATTGTTGGGATTTGGGTCGATTTCTAGGTTTGGTATGTTTTGTTTGAGCCACATGAACTTTATATGCTCTCAGCCTTGTTTCTGTGATGTGCTGGTGACTGGTTACCACTATTTATGTTGTCTGTTGATCAATTTATTAATCAGTTGTTTGTAAGTTGCCAGAATCTGTAGTGATGTCTTCAAATGTCTTGTCTCAACAGTGGTTCAAAATCAAAAGATTTTTAGTTTGCTGTCCCAGCAAACCATAAATATTCACTTATAGGAGCCTTGAACCAATCAGCTATTACTTGTAAAAATACATCTAAATAGAATGCTTTTATTGTCATCATACACAAAGTGCAACAAAATTAACATGGTTGACTAATTCAGATTCATTGTCAGCTATTTAAGCTCGACTGATGATTTGTGTTGTTTTGTGCGAATTTATATCGAATTTGAATCTTACTTGAAATAATCCCCTTATCAGTTAATCTCCTAATAAGCTGTCAGATTCTACAATGTACCAAAAAAATGTGTAAAATGCAGCTGTGACAAGTTTTGCAAAGCCCAATACAACTTCTTCAGAATCCTTTTTTTCCCCAGATCAGCAGCAAAAACAACAAACATATTACAATCTAAATAATATCCCCTCAGATTTCACAACGTCATGTGAAAACATATTTCAATGAAAGCAGGAATATATGTTTGCATTTCTTATAAATGCATAAAATGATTACTGAATTCCTGTAGTTGTAGCTGTAGTTATTTTATATACATTATAATGAACTAATTGTAACAGCTCTACATGTGAGCCAGGTTCACTGATGGGATGAACATCAGAGCAGGTTTCTGTAACTACAATGTGTAAACATACGAACAGCACCTGAAATTAAAACAGCAGCTCCAGCTCCATCCTGGATAAATAATAAATGACCACTGCTTAGTATTTGTGCAGCGAGCATGCTCACATGTTGACTAGTGAGGACAAGGCTCAGGCTAAAGACAAACTTGAGGGAGTCACCTGAAACTTGTTCTACAGAAAGTCATGTGTTTTTTAATGTATCTAGATTTAAAATGTGTGTGTGTGTGTGTGTGTGTGTGTGTGTGGGGAACATTCAGTATGTTCTCAACTGAGAACATACTGAATGTAGAGTGTAGTAGAACAGATGAACTGGGGAGATATAACCAGAAACAGATTCACAATGCAGTTAGCAACACTACAAGGTAACTTGTGTGTTTACTTTCAATCAGACTCAAGATCAAGATTTTAAAATGATTTACGTAACAATGTTTTTTTTTTTAAAAGTGGTGTCCACTATGCATCATCCTCACTGTCTACGTGAGGAGCAGTGCAATGCATTCTGGTAGTACCACGCTGCTGCGTTTCGAGAGATGAGGTGTCTTGTTGGTTGCTCCTTATTTGCATAAAGTTAAGCTCGTCTGTGCTACTTTATGCAAACCAGGAAAATCCAGCTGCCGCTCTCCACCTCTGGAAACGCCTGCAAAAACTTTGGGGCCAACCGCTGATGTAAAATACAGACAGATTCAGCAGCTGTATGGCTTATTTCTCGCTTCAGATCAAACACATTTTGGCAAACTGGGCTGCAAGGTGGCTTGGTGGTTAGCACCGACACCTCACAGCTAGAAGATCTCCAGTGTGCATCCCTGTTAGGACACCCGGGATCCTTCTGTGTGGAGTTTGCATGTTCTCCTTTATGGAGGCACATACAGTCAGCTGTGGACACCATAAATGTGTAGTTATTACATTTTCTTTCTAGTTGAAGGACTCTGTTCCACATTAGTGTAGCAGATTAGCCTCTACAATGTACAATGTAGTCACGAATGCACTACTGTCTTTGTAGCACTGTTGTGCAGACTCATATTTTGGACTGCATGCAGAGGGGTTGATGTGGACTCACTTTGGCAAATAACAAAATGTAACCACACTGGTGGATCTAGAAAGTAGGATGCTGACCCTGCATTTTATAACATGTGCAAGTACACGAGGGTTCACTCATCACCTGTGGACGTATGCATTCAGACCAGAGTGTGTGTCCATTCAACACTGCAACAGAAGGAGTGTGCATACATAGAATATACAGACGCTGATCTACAACACACACGCAGAACAAAGACCTTCGAGTAGACTAGAAAGTAGTACAACAGTAAGTACACATCCATAGCTGGCAGTGCCCACAAGGTAGTGTAAAAGCAAACGCCAGAATGATTTTATATTATTGATCAAAGACAACAAAGAAAAGACAACAGTACACATGTAATATTGCTAGGCAAAGAATTTATAAATTAATAAAAACATTCCCTTTGTAGTGTTCTTCTGACAGCTTTTCCCACTTTGTATTTTTGTCCTTTTTTTCTAATGATTTCAAAATATAGAAAAATATTTCTGACAACATTCATCATTACATTATTTTCGCATGATTTTCATTCTGTCCTGTTGGTTATTTCACACACCTCTGCATTTTGACCCATTGCGCTCTCCCTCTCTCTCTCACTCTCTTTTTTTTCCTTTTTTTTTTTTTTTTTTACAGTATTTACACATTGAAATCAATCGGCATCATCTTTCATTTCAGCTTCAAACCAGGGACACCAGAGCATGGTTTGCATAGATCACAGGGGAGAAATGTCAGAAGTGAAAAGCTTTTGAAAGGAAACATACTGCACATGTCGTACATCCTGTGATAAGCGTTACAAATCAACACATGACAAATCAAACATGGCACAGTGTGGACATGATTTGTTAAGAAATCAATTATTAGTGGCAACCAAGTCATTGAGGTGATGATTCAGTTGTAATAATCAGTCTGTCATTTGCACAAATTAACTGCCAAACTGTGTGTGCGTTTGTAACTGAAGTGTGTCTGCAAAGAGAAGCCTTCGCTGCTGTTAGTGACGCTGTGCTCAAAATACCAAAACATGAATCTTCAAATGAAAGTCCATGACAGTTAAACATGTTGGGTTGCTCTTTGAAAGGTGTTTGCATGTATCTGTGAATCAACTCAAGATGTAACACTGAAAACTAAAAAAAAAAGTGAATTCTAAAATCAAGGTCTGTTTTGAAGTCACTGTCAGCTTAACTGTAGTGTTCAAGTAAATGTGTAAAAACAGCAGAAACAGGTAAAAACACTTTTTTTTTTAAGCTTAGCTTTGGGTTTACCACTCACCGCCATGTTTTGTCAGTTATCAGAGTCAGAAAATAAACATTTGATCAAGCAGGTAGGTTTGGAGTCTGAGCAGAGCTGAGGTGAGACGAGGAAACGGCAACCGACGAGGCCGAGACGCCTGTTTATCAAACCGACACATGAAAATAGATCCGTTCTTGGAGGCCTTAACTCGTCATAGTAAACACATGAAATATTTAAAGACTTTATTACAGTGAGACTTTCTGTTTCTGCTTTGGCGTTAAACATCCAGTCGTGGTAGCTGCTGCACCACTGAAAGCCAAAACCCTGCCCCGATGGTAAATTTAAATCAGCACTTGTATTTGTGTATTTCTAACAGGCTGTCCACCCTCCTACCCGTGTCTGAACAGTTGGAGTGCTCACTTCATTTGCTGCCATTCGCTTTCGTGGAGTACGAAGACCAACTTCCATAAAGCTAAGTAATCCACCGCAGCAACCACGAAGCCTTCATTATATTTGTTGAACCCTTCGTTGTGTATTTCCATATAAGCACCGCACTAAATTCAGCCCTGCTTACAGTCTGAGAAGCTCAGGAAGACGTCAGAGTCCCTGGTAGGAAATAATCCCTTTATAAAAATGCCGCATTACAAATTTCTGTGTCTTTGTATATCTACAAATGAAATACACGCTAGAATAAAAAAACAGTTTACAGCTGTACAGAGGCTAAAATGCCAAATCAGGAAAAAAAAAAATGCAATGCCAACGATTTAAGTTCTCACAAAGCAGCTCCCTTTTTGTTTTGTTTTGTTTTTTAAATCTCGGCTGAGCCTAAAAAACAAAACTGGCACATTTTCAACAGGGTCATTCGGCAACACTTTTGTCTAAGTAAGTAAGTGTTGCATGGACAAGATTTATTCCGGATTAATTTGTCTATGATTGTTTAAACAGACATTGTGAGTTTCTTGAGTTAGAGATTGTCTTTGGTGTCCATCAACATATCTCAGAAAACAAATAACTGACTGAGTTAGTGACTGACGATAAGTGACAGCACTGTGAAGCTGAAAATCCATCGCGCTCAAACTACCATCGATCTCTATCGCAACTGTTTGTAGCAATAGTTAAGTTTAAGAACACAATCTTAAGTGCAGACGCAGTGGGACCCGGCGAGGAGTGAAGCCCACCAGCTCTGAGCACACAGATGTACAGCAGACGACAGATGGACGGACGGATGGCAGTGGCTTAAATACAGAAGTGACTTCTCTACTAATTTAATTAGCTGAGTGCTAACATTCAGTGTGAAACTTGTTCTTGCTGCCGATCTCTGCAGACAATAGGATTGACTCACTAACCACTAAAACCTACTGCATGGAAGCTAATTTAAGTTTAGTACTATTGCACAAACCAAACACTACTTGACTAATTCATTAGTTACAAACCTGGCCTTAACAGGCATGCAGAATCTTTAAACTATCAGTATTTTTTTTAAAAAAACTATGGGTTGTTACGAAATGCATCTAGAAATTCTGTAGAAAAGTGACTTGCAGCCACGACGAAATGCCACATTTACAAACATGACGAGCATGGCTATGGCTTTGACAAGCTGAAAAGGCTTCAACTTGTTGAGAAAGATGAAAAGGTTGTTGAGGAAAATGTGGTAGATTTCAGAGATAAGACTTTGCAGGATGGCAGGCAGTTTCTCTACTGCTAGGAGTTGAGAATGGCTAGTATGTGCAAAAAGATAGCGGATAAAACGCTGCATGTCGATGGTTTTACAATGTCCTCATAACGCTTAATTTTACAGGTTTTTCGTTTTGAAAGAATTTTCTTATAATCTACTGAAAAAGATGACAGGAAATTACAGGCCTGTAAAATGAAGAATTACCATCTCACAACACAAATGACTAACATGGAACAATTCAAGGAAAGGAAAAACGTTAACAGTGAATAATTTCGTCTTGGCAAACGCTTTTAACACTGTGTGGCTGCGACTTCATTCAACGTCCGACACAAAAAAATAAAATAAATTAAATGCTGATCACAACTGGCATCGACTCATCCTCATCCTCACATGCACATTTATACTCGGTACCTAACAATGAAAAGAAGAAATTGCAGCTGTTACACTAATAAAACGGGTGTTAGTGTTCTTTAAAAAAATAGCAGCATGTTAATTTCTAAGCTGTATGTTCAGTTCGGCCTGTCTTGCCTAAAAGTTACTAAAACTGAAAAACTGGTGCTTTGTTTTTTAAGCTCACAAACTAAAATGTGTTTAAAGAAAAGTCAATAAAATGCCTCGGGAGACTATCCTTTTTCAGCAAATTCAAAGCAAATAGAAATCATGCCAATGCTTCTTAGAAAAAAAGAACCCTTGCAGAATTTGATGTCTTTTCAAAAAGACTAAGTGACTCACAAAAGGTCTGAATTACAAAGCATCGCTGCCTTGGTCAGTCCCACAGCGTCTTTTATGGCAACAGGTGAATGGCTTACTAATGGCCTGAAGAGTTGGCATCACCTTTTGCAAAAGGAGTCATTCATTAAAATAAGCTTACATACACAATGACACACACACCTGCCCTCCACATGTTGCTGATATGTCTAGAAAATGGTGCAAATTCAAATGTCAAACGTTTAAAACATTTCAAAAAGAATGGCATTAATTACTCAAAGTTTTCCAGTACGTTTGTGGTAGTCGCGCTGATTCACAGGAGCGAGTCGCACTCCTCTTTTTTCCAGTTTTTCATCTCATTCGTTGACGACTAGCGGTGCAGCCTTTTAAAAAAAATGGACACTTGCAATGCTCCAATGTTTTTGGGAACATCCGCTTTTCTCTACAAGCTTCTCGACTGAGGATGGAAAGTTCTGATGAAATCACAGATGAGCTTATTGTACAGAGATGGCGAAAGTGATTGATCACGTTGAAGTTGATTGACTCACCAACAATACTATACTGCCAAACAATTTTTGGTGTTTGTTTTAATTTTGTTGAAGATTAAACCTTCTCTGTGCCACCTGAAAGCACCCTTTCAAATTAAAAGATAACGAGTATCGACTAGCACCAGTATGTGCACCTACTTCTTTTGTCTGTGGTTTCACTGTGTCACATTATACCATGACATGGTATGTGTATGTACAAGCTCCCAAATCTCATGATTTTCTATGTATAGAATGTAAATATAATACATGATATGCACAATATCACAAGTTTACAGACGAGGAAAACTCTTCCAGTCCTATAGGTATCCTATGATAATTTTGGTACAAAAATGCCACCGTTTTTCTCTCGCTTTTGTCTGCGTCATTGCAGACGATCTGTTTCAGTGACAGAAAAGTCTCAGTGCTCCAGTCTGTACTCTGGTGATAGGAGAATCCGATGTAACTCCTTACAGCCCGAAAAAAAAACAACTAATGGATGCTAAGAGCTAAACTTGAAGAGTCTGCATTTACTGTCTATTCCTCTGCCTCCTGGCTCTGGGGGAAGGGCAAGCTGACGGCGTGCTCTTGAGCCAGAGCAGCCAGCTCTTTGAGGAACTCACAGAAGATGACGGCGCAGTAGACAGCGTTCTTCACCCGCAGAGCCTCAGCTTGTTTCTCCAGGCCAGACGCTCCGCCGCTGCCGCTGCCCCGGAACAGAGCACTGTGCAGTGATTGGCTTCCGTCCCGTACGTGTGCGAGGGCCAGCTGAGCGGCGTGTCGAGCCCGAGTCGGGCTGTTGGTGTGACGAAGGATCAGGTCTCCGAGAGACGGCTTACGACTCTTCACTAGAAGGCCAAAATTGTAAGTGTTAGAGTTATCAAGGTGCAAACAAGGATTCTGAAGTCAAGTACAACTTGTTACCTTTCTCCAGAGCTTTCAAGTGGATACGTGGATTCTGTTTTGTTTAACTGCTGTTTCCAATAAAATGTCAAAGGATGTAAAATATTGATCGTTCTTTCTCAAAAGCCAAATCAACCTCCTCTAATGTCTATTTTGACCCCAAACGAAAGATTAATGATCTAGATGACTAGAAATCAGAAAATACTGACATTTAAGAAGGTGGAATCAGAGAATTTGCCTTTTTTTTCTTATAACGTTACTAAAACCAATATATCAATATTGACATGGTTGGCGATCAATACAGGAATGTATTGATGTAATGTAATCAATACAGTAATACAGTTCTGTGCACACACAGAATATGTGGCTACTGGTAACAAATAATGTAACTAGAATGCAAAAACGATCAAATCAACAATACTTTTGTCCTAAGATTAAATCTCAAACCACAAACAAAATTCTAATGTAAAATAAATTCTACTTCTTCCGAGCTCAGTCCTGGACAGTTTGTGACATCAATTTTAGCATCTTGAAACACGACAGAAAATGCCAATTCTCTTTATCTTTCTAATGAGTTTTTATTTCTTTTAATTTTTGCATTATCAGGTTGATGTCCAAAACTGTGCATCTGTATATTTGCATGGGAACATTTTTTACATTCATTTTTATAATTTTGACCTTTGACAGCCTCTAAAATCGTATCAAATATATTTTGTAAATGATCTGCATTAATACGTTTTATTTCAGTTCTTCTTGAAGGTAAATTCAATGTAAAGCACTTTGAAAGTGGCCCAGCTTGTGAACTGTGCCGAAGACAATTATAGACAAAATAAGATAATGCAGTGGCCAAAAAAAAAGAGTGACTTATCAATCGTCACGTCTTTTAGAATTGATAATTAACTGAAACACAGATTTACATGTAAGGAGAACAGTCGTCTGAGACAGATATCAGCTGCATATGAAACCCACACCTGCTCAAGTAAATACTATTTCTTTTGTTTCTTTACACACCAAGTGAATCAGAGCGCCGCAAGGTAGGAACTGCTGCAGGTGAGTCGGTCCAGTCCACTTTGCCTCGGGCCACCAGGTACTGCTGGGCTTTCTTCAGCATGGCAGGGAAGTCCTCATGAGAGGCGGCAAAGGCCTCAATGCGGTTCTTCACAGAACCTAAAACCTGACCAGAGTCAGGGAACAAAGTTTTAGAGTTTGGATTGATCCTCAAAGAAAAATGATTTTGTTGGTAACTTCTCTAAAGTAGACTGAGGCTATTCTTTATGGCTGCAGTGTTGATGATAAGCTACAAGACTGAGGTGCTGAAAGATCGAACTAGATTGCTTTTTAAACAAAAAATATTACCACTGTCACAAAAAATGTAACGTGAAGCGAAACAAAGGAATTCTGTGAATATGTTCATCATGCATCAATGAGTCACTCTTCCAAAATTAAAGTGCTATTTTTACCCTCCACTGCAGCTATTAAGTATCAATTTAAAGCATCTTAAAACATGAAGCAAATGGAACATGGAAAGGAACTTCATGCAAATACCAATGTGGGTCTTTTGGAACTGAAGACTGCACAGAAGCGAGGTGGGCTGGAAGTGGACAACTACAGACAGGAACCTAAAAACTGTCATTGTTCCATAACAAAATACAGAAACTCTTCTTTTTTTTTTTTTTTTGCTCAGAAACTGAACTTAAGTTCACAAGAGGGCGGTCCTCAACCATGGTGTCAGGTACCTGGATCAGTGACTTGACGCTAGGCTGGAAGACCATGTTGGTGTTGAGCAGGAAGGAGCGTAGGAGGGGCTGAGGATAGCAGGCCAGCTGGGCCACGATGCCAGTGAGCAGGATGTTGACGTACAGCGAGTTCTGGAGCATGTTTTCCAGCTTGGCAAACAGAACCACCATGAATGGACCTACACAGAGATGATCTGATGTATCATTGAATGGAAAGATACAACACAACTTTTTCTCAAGAAATGTAGGCTGTTTAAAAATGACTCAGGTAACCTGGAAGTTATCAGGCTGAATAGGCAGCAGAGAAGCTGTTATCCCAGTAAGATCAGTAACCCTAGTGTTGTGAGCGAAAGCTACTTCCAAGTGGCTCCTAGACTGCTATAGTTTATATAGTTTATGGTTAATGGCCAAGTGCTGTTTTGTGATCAGGTACTTGAGTCCATACTGCGTTACTGAACATAACAAAGTCGGAAGGACAACACAGACTCTGGAACTGAGCTGCGTAAAACCCAATCCGTAGGGCTGCAACTAATGATTATCTCTATTGTGGATAGTGACAAAATAATTGGCAGATGAATTATTAAATGTTTGTTCCATAAAATGGCTGAATATTATGTAAAATGTCAGTATTATATCTATGTCACTATTCTGATCTTGTGTTTAGTTCGGCAGATAAAGTAAACACTTCTTTAAATGAGAGCCAAAGATTTCCAGGTGCAATCTTATGGTTTTTTTACCTCCCAAACAAAGGCACTTTACTACACAAAAAACAACAAAAGAGAACATTAAATCCAGTTTTCAGTCACAAAACATATTCACTACATCATCCAACTAAGTGTAAAATGTTAATAACTCAAAACATTGCGGACATAACTGCCACAAGATGCAGAAAATCCCAAAATGATGCCCTTAAATGTCTTGTTTTTTTCCAAAAATCTAAGATACTCTGTTCACTGTCACAGAAGAGTGAAAAAAATAGAAAATATTTAGAAGTAGGAAGCTGGAAGTTTGTTTTTATAGTAAATTACTCAAACTGATTAATCGGCTATCAAAATAGCTGCTGATTAATTTATTTGTTGCAACTAATCATTGTTTTCATGGAGAAAAAAAAAAACTTGTCTTTAGCCACTGTAGCTTAAGAGGTCTTGACATAATTATCTTGGAACTACTATCCATCCATCATCTATACACCACTTAATCCTCACTAGGGTCGCGGGGGGCTCGAATCTATCCCAGCTGACTTAGGGTGAAGACAGGGGACACCCTGGACAGGTCGCCAGTCCATCGCAAGGCTACACTTCGAGACAGACAACCAACTACACTCACATTCACACGTACGGACAATTTAGAATCACCAATTAACCTCAACATGTTTTTGGACTGGGTGGGAGGAAGCCGGAGAACCCGGAGAGAACCCACGCTGCAAAGGGAGAACATGCAAACTCCACGCAGAAAGATCCCGGTGCCCCCACTGGTACACGAACCGGCAACTTTCTTGCTGCGAGGCAACAGTGCTACCAACTGCCCCACCTTGCAGCCCTTTGGAACTATGAACTTAACAAAAAATAAAAATCAAACAAATACTCAATATAATACCTCCTCTTAATGATGCCCTCATGCTGCACTAGCAGATACTGATATAAACAAAAAACTACAATACAACCCTTTCTCAACAGTGCTTACTCACAAGCACAGAGTACTGGTTAATCAGCGATGAAAAGACAACAATGGGTCTTACCTGTGTATGGCTGGGAGATGGGCTGGTTGAGGGGTCTGGCAGGGCTGCAAACACCCACCACTGACCCGTCTCCCTTGGCGTCACCCGTCATCTTCGCTTCCAAAGCCGAGGACAGCAGTTGTTCTTCTTCCTGCCTCTCGGTGGACAAAGACTCTCTGGTAGTTTCCTCCAGCTGGCTGGCTGCTCTAATGCGCTCCTTCACTCGGTCCTCCAGCTCCTTCAGCTCCTGTGTAAAGGCCTCGATGCTGATGCCCTGACCATTGGCGTCTCCTGGTACCTGTGGGTCTCCTGGTGCTTGTGTCAGCAGCTCCTCTATAAGACTCTCTACAGATTGTTGGTTGGCTTCTGGAAGATCTGAGGATGCACCGTGTGGGTTTGAGGTGTCGCTGGTCAGCAGTTTGGTATCAGACGCTGGCGGGGTGATGGAGCTCTGACAGGGAATCTGGGTAGGGCGAAGAGATTTTGCATCGCTGATGTCACTGTTGGTGAAAATGGACTGTGGGAGAGCAGTGCAGGTTTGGGAGGGGCACGTGACAAGGGATCCATTTTGATTGGCATTTTCATCCAAAAATTGCTGCTCCCCCAAGTCTCTCTTTACTTTCTTTACCTCTAGTCCTCTGTCACGACTGTCTGAGCACCCGTCCCCCTGCCCCATCGTTCCATTATACATGGCCTGGTAGCTAACAGTAATGGCAGTCGAGGGAATGTGAGGAGCTGGGGATGAAACAGGGTGGGAGGTTGATAAAGGGGCGGCCGAGGACAAAGAAGGGACGAGAGGAGGTACAGGCTTGGGGAGGAGCTCCTCCCTCTGCAGGCTGCGTTTCTTGGAGCGAGGCGTGAGGCTGATGCAGTTGTTTTTGCCAATCGTAACATCCCACTCTCCGCTGTCCCTCTCTGAGCTGCTCCACTCAGACCGCGCTGCCGCCACGATGGCCGCCCTCTGCTGGCCCGGAGGAGTGTTGGTATTCGCTCCCTGCTGGAAAGAGAAGTGCTCAGGGAACAAAGCCATAGAGGGATTGGAGGTAGGAGGAGGTGGAGGCGGAGGGGCTGTGTTTGGGGAGGGGTTTTCTCCATCATAGGGCGCCGACCAATCACGGCAGGACCAGGAGCAAAGCTCGATGCCCCGCCGAGCGTCCTTGAGGTACTCCAGATAACCCGAGTCCCAGTCCAGACAATCTGTATGGATCTGCTGCTGGTGCATGGGGCTGTCAGGGGACAGAGGGTGGGAGCTGGAAGAACCTGACTGCAGTGGCTCCATGCTGGTGGGGGTTGAGGGACCCCCGCCTCCTGATCCACTGCCACTGCTCTGCTGGCGCATGAAAAAGGCCAAGCGGGACGGCGTGCTGGGTCTGGGCGGTGCTGGAGACTCAGTGCTGGGACTGTTTAGCACTGTAGAATGACACACAGTGTGATATGCGTAACTAATAGCCCCCAAGGCCTGTCAGTACAGCTGAAACAAATGTATTTTCAAAAAACAACACACAAGAGTGTCATGTAATACCAAAACACATCTGTTAGCTTGCTGTGAACAGCCTCTAGGTGTTCCTCTCTGTAACTACAACCTTTAACTTCAATTTCTCCCACAATAGTTAATACTGACAGAAAGTAAAGAGTGCAAATGACTAATTTGTGCCTGTGAATACAATGATAATCTTGACACCTATCAGGCAAATTTACTGTTTTTGGTTGATCCCTATGAGGCCTCACAAAAGATTACTAAAAAAAATACTGAAAAGGCTGCATAAATAACTCCCAAAAGAATTAATTTTGAGTGTTAACACAGCACCAAGTATTCTCTTTGTGTTTAGAACCACAATTATCATTTTTTTTCTCCACAGGTGTTTGTTTCTCACCTTTGCCCCAGAATGCACCGTCCTCGTCCCGCTCAGCGGAGGATGCGTTCAGCCGGCAGCACTCTGGGATCAGCGACAGGAACTTGTCTGCTGACTTTCCGTACAAGTCGGTCTCCCTGATAGCTCGACGCTGACTCAGCATTACATGAGTACAGGGCAGAAGATACCTGGAAGCACAAACACACATAAACTATTTCAGTAATTTTTTAATAATAGTCGTTTCACAGACTGAAGATACAGACATTTAGGAACATTAACAAACTGAATATATAGTCAGTCATTTTTAATACCATGTTTACAATTCTGGCTGTTTTATCGTGCTGTGATGGACCTCCTGCAGTCACACACTGCATTTATTTATTTTTTATATTTTTTGGGCTTTTGCCTTTATTTTAGAGCAGTAGAGAGAGACAGGAAAGGGGGGAGAAGAATGGGGAGAGACCTGGAGCAAAGGGTCGTGAGTGGGAGTCGAGCCCACGGCCGCTGCGTCGGGGACTGTAGCCCCTGTTCATGGGTCGCCTGCTCAGCTAGGTGAGCTATAGGGGCACCCCACACACCGCATTTATGATGTCAAAAGATTCTCAATAGCTGTGTTTCCATAGATGACTTTACACATATTTTGAAGTATTGCATTAGAAAAAGTGAATAGTAACAACAAAATTTAAAAAAAAAAAAGTTTTTTGGTTTATAGCTCTTTACTGTTGTTACACTAGCTCTAGGTGGGTTTCTGCTATGTGAAAAAGATGTTTCCATTGTCCATGAAGTGCATCAATTCTATTTTGAAAACATTGTGACTTAGCGAACATTTAACACAAGCAGAGCAATTAGGTTTTTTGCAATGTCTAACATCCTGCTGTGTTTGCAGATGGGATGGTTGAAGATAGTAGAGCTGAGACTATTTCCCCAAGTAATCGGTTGGTTTGTAAAAGACTGTTTTGATTCTGGGTCTGCAAGGTGGTTCGGTGGTTAGCACCATTGCCTCACAGCTAGAAGGTCGCCGGTTCACAGGATCCTTCTGCGTGGAGTTTGCATGTTCTCCCCGTGCAGCATGGCTTCCTCCCACAGTCCAAAAACATGCTGAGGTTAATTAGTGATTCGAAATTGTCCGTAGGTGTGGTTGTGATTGTGCTTTGTTGTGTGTCTCTAAGTGTAGCCCTGTGATAGACTGGCAACCTGTCCAGGCTGACCCCTGCCTCTACCCTGAGTCAGCGGGGATATTTTCAGCCCCCCGCGACCCTAGTGAGGATTAAGCATCATCCATCCATCCATCCATCCATCTAGAAGATAGATGGATGGATGGATGGATGGATGGATGGATGTTTTGATTCTCCAACATTTTCAGAACAAATTCTAGCTTTTCAACCACTTGCTTGTGGTTTTTGGACACTTCTTTAGACTCACAAGACTGATCAGCTGTCTCCTCTTTTTTTATTGTCTTTGTCTACAGACGGCAAAAATCCTGTCCAATACCAGCTGACACAAAAGAACTACAGTTTTTCCAATACAAAACAATTTGTTAGTGCCTTTCTCCAGTTTTTTTTGGCAGAAATTTGTTTTCCTTTTTTTTCTTTAAGTTTTTTTTTTTTGCACATTTTTATTTTTTTGGGGGGAGGGTTGTATTTTTCCACTTTGTTTACTAAAGCCATGCGTGACACAGCCACTACCTTCTGACAACACTAATTTACATTTCGCATTTCAATGCTTCACTTTAAATTCACTTCACATTTTTATGGAAACATGCCTAATGCTAAAATAGCAAGAAGTGCAAAGTACCAGGCACCTTGTACTATTAGTCCTGAACACATCATTACAAAGGCAAAGCTGCCATTGATAAATTAAAAAATGTAAAATGTGAGCATGACATATTCCATATCAGAACCATTTTGAGGCCACTTGAAAACCAAATTATCTTTTAGGGTTACAAAGTGTTTACAAAATTTACAAAACCCAAATGGTATATCTCTGCACTATATATTCAAATGACCAATACCAACAGATCATGGCTTTGCAACAAATATAGAAAAAAATACATTCTACCCGATATTATTCGTGCACATTGGATAAAGCAGGTTGTCCACTAACTGCAAGGTTGGTGGTTCAATGCCCCACGCTTCCACATGTCAAAGTGTCCAATGACACTGCAAGCACCTTGCATGGCAGCTCTGTCTCTGTTGGTGTGTGAATGGGTGAATGAGAAGCACACTGCAAAGCGCTTTGAGTATCACTAATTTAGAAAAGCGCTATACAGGTGCAGACTATTTACCACTTCACAATAAATGAGCTCAGATGTGCCGACGTACCTGAGAATGAGCTGCAGCATGACGTCTTCGCAGTTTAGGGACAGAAGAGTCCTGAAGAGGCTCAACGATACCATGCAGAGCTGCAGCACACAGATAAGGAAACTGGTTAGAAAACAGTCATTATCCACAGAGGCAATACACATGAGAGCCAATTTATATATGCTATGAATGTATTTCAAATGAACTAGGTCCTATTTTTGTAATGATTCCCAAAATAAATATACATGGCACACATTTATCCTTTCCACTAATTTTGCAGGTCCTCTTGTAATGAAAATCAGGAGTTTTCCAGGATGTGGAAACCCAGATGGGTGTCCTATGTAGCAAGTGTGACATAGCCAGGCTTTCTTTGCATTAGCTGGCTCGACAAAACCTAAAGTCCCAATCAGACATGATGAGCATCACGATGGTGGCCATCAACTTTTTTTTTTGTAAACACAAGCATTTTTCATCAGGCTCTGTAAACACTCCTGTAAAAAGGGGGGGTATGACGTATACTTCAGTCAAGAAAAACAAGATGTTATAATTTATCCATCCATCCATTATCTATATACCGCTTAATCCTCAC